TTGGATTTTGTGCTTGAGCCATACCAAAAAAAAAAAAAAAATAAAGATTTGTACTCAATGATGCCTCTTGATTTCTTATTTGATAGTCAACTTTAAATCACCAGAAATAAGAGTCAAAAAGGGACCTTCAAAATGCCACCACTGGAGTTATTTGTGTATATGTGGTATTGCAGTGTCACTGTATTCACAACAAAACTGAAATCCAGATCCTGCTGTGATGATAAAACCCTGCGGGGTGAGCAGGTTCAGTTATATGTGTGTGTGTGTGTTTATCAAGGCGGTGTGTGCTGTTAGATCCTGTGCAGGGGGAGGTGGGGGGGGCAGGAGGCCCAGACTTTTATCAAGCCACAACACCACCACCTGCCCGGGGTGCAGGGTGTTCCCTCAGGCCGACACACTTTGGTCACATTCGTTCCTTCTCACAGAGTTTTGTGTAAGGGAAGAAAAAAGGAGTTTGTCAGAAAGTGGTTTGAAGCCCCGTTACCCAGAGCTGCAAGAAACTGTTTTGTTTCACTCAGCTAAACAAGCTCTGCTAGTTCTGTTTCCCAGCAGCGTCTCTACATGTTTGTGCTGACATCAGCTTCTTTAAAAGATGTGTCACTTCTAAACCCCACTTAGGCCTGGAGAACAAAACCCAGGCAGGGTTGTTGGAAACAAAAACACATTAATTATCTTTTTGTCCCTAGCCAGGGTGTCATTTATCCTCCCAGTAATGGTTTATGGTAATATGGACTATGAGTTCAATAGATGTTTGTGTGGTGCTTTGTTTTGATTAACATCTATTCACACCTTATACCTGTAAAATCCTGCTTTTAATTGGATGCCCTGCCCTTCCCTTCTACATGGGATTTCAGGGAGTTTCAGTTCACATGTTTTTTACATTCTCATCCCTTATAGCTAGGTTTTCTTTCAAACGGTGTCCCAAGTTTGTTTAAGATGTATTCCTGCTATTTAGTGTCATAACTCCATTACGTTTGGGGACATGCAAGAGACAGAAAGTAAGAGTGTACACCCTTGCTAGCATCTCTGTGGGGCTGTATTTATGCACAGCAATGCTTTGAGCTAAGTGCTGACAGTGACAAAAAAAACTTTCTTTTACCACATTCACATCTTAGTTCAGCATGCTAGCATTTGCTAATTATCACTAAATACAAATCACAGCGAATGGGAATTACATTAGTTTTCTTATCACAGCTAATAGCCTGAATCAATGCAGCACATTCACATAATGTAGGATGGCAGTAATTGTAAATATAAAACTCTAAATGACAAAGTTATTTACAATTTGGAAATTTACAGAACTACTACATTTCCCATAATGCCCCCATGTTTTAAACTCCACACCTTCAGTTTGAGTGAGTGTGACGGGTGACTAAATGCTTATAATTAGGGGAGTGTGATGATGTATGAAGCTTTTTGTTTTTCAGTGAACACAGCGGGGTGAGTCTGTGTTCAGGAGCTGTGTCTAGGAACAAGACATGGCTTTGCAGTAAGTATACATTAAAAAAAAAAGAGCTTGATGGAAGCCATGCCAGTGCGTAAGGACCAGCTGTATATTATGACAACACGAAGGACAAGTTGCAGTTTTTTATAGCTGAATCATGTCACAGATTTTTAAACACGTTTGCATTCAGCAGAATTGATGTCCTTGCTGTTGCTGTGTTTACTGGTTGTTACTGTAGCGAGGCGGCTCTGGTCTCCCTCTCTTCTCTTCACTGTTTATCTCTCACTATCTCAGCCCCTGTTCTCTGTTAGTGATCTCACTCACACATCTATTTACTCAACTTTTCTGCATGTCATTTCTGTTTTTCCTTCCCCCTAACATCTCTTCTTGTCTTCTCCTCTTCGGTGCCTGTGGTCCTGTTTCTCCTCACACGCCATTATTTCTATCTCCTTCTTTTCTCCCTCCACGCCTCCCTCCTCCTTATCTCTATCTTTCTCTCCTTCTCGCGTTCTCCTTGTGAATCACACCAGAGAGGAGCAGAAACAGAGCCGGGTGTCAGCTTGATGAACGAGGTCATACAGGCCCAGCAGACCTTGTTATGCTGAGTCACCATAAGGCCTCTCTTGGTCTCTCGCTATGTCTCTCTCTCTCTCCCCCTGTCTCTCTTTCACATTCACATACAAAGTAGGTTCAGTCAAATCTCACTCTCTGCACGCTTCTCGCTCTCTCGTGCAACTCTGACGTCAAGGGATTCCTCAGAACTATCAGAAAAACAGTCCCACCTTATCAGGCCTCAGCTCAACTTTAACTGCAAATAGGTCTTGTTTTTGTGGTCTCAACAACATGTGGGTTGGCCTGAGATCATGTAAAAAAAAAATAATAATATTCTACTTACATCATCTATTTAGAAATGTGAGTACACAAACTTGAGGAATAGCAGAAAGAGAACACCATTACTATTACATTATATGTGTGCCTCATTCCTGGGCACAGCTACATGTAAGCAGGTTATACACTTTTACATACGAACCTTTATGAAATTCTGCTTGTAGTTAGTCCCTTAAGCTAACTAGCCTGCTTGGTGGGTGGCTAACAGTATTTAAAT